ACAAGACCTACTTCGTATCCGCATAGCCGCTCCCCAGGACCCATATTGGACTAATAAGAATTTTAATCTTCTGCTAGTGAGTTGGATGTAATTCAAGTGAGTGCTTTGTTCTCAAAACTGACATCAGCACCGTACACAACACGTACCTTGACGCAGCAAGGATAACCCGGAAGTTGAAGAACCTCCATTCGACTAGTCTACCTAGCCATTGGATTTTTAGGGATATGTTCGCGTGGTGGGGTATTCTGCAATAATTACTCCTATATCTGGAAATAGGGCACGAAATTCTCAACCATGCCAATTGTCAAGTCTTCTGTTGAATGCAAACAATCTCCGCTGTTGGGATATTAATAATGTGTCGCAGGCGTGTGGTGGCTAGTCATGCTGGCGTTTGTAAATTTTGGGACCCCTTTCCTGTATAGAAGGAAGAATTAGATTTAAGCTTTCAGACTCACCTAACCAGATGGCAATGACATCATTTTGTCAAACTCCAGGGTTATTTTTGTAGAAAGAAGGCAGGGTTTGATTTTTGAGGGAAATCATGGGGAAAAACGACAACATCAAACAGACTGGGCACGCTTGCATCCGCTGAAAAAAATAAATGGCGATATTGTAAAAAAACATACTTCAATTAGAAAGCCGATCTCCGATTGGTTGAGATGAGCCATTTGGGGAATAAGAGTATTGAAAATAACAGCCAGGGCGTGCGGTGGAGCCCTTCCATCCACACTTGGTGAATGCCAACCAAATCTGTCTGGCATCCCACCAGCAGAGCTTTGGCAATTAAAGCTTCCTGACCTGGAAGCTGGCCTCCAAGAGCACCACAGAGAAATCAACTACATGTAGCCTGGTCCCACCACTGGTTGACTTTGTTGACTAATGACCAAAGTAGCAACATATCTGCGTTGAAGCCAGAAGAATCCAGTCCACCAGTCCCTCACAAGTTGATGATTAAATCTTGGTCCCAGAAATGGTTTTCAACTTCAAGACTCAAGCAGGTTTTATGCAATGCTACCTGTATTGCCCAGGTTATCTCAGGGTTATTGAAAAATTTAACCTCAAAATTACTCGGGTAATTGGGATTGAGCATAACTTCACACTGCACTTCTCGGGGTTAGAAATTCTCTGGATTAACTGCCTCAAAATGCCTTTTACCCAGGTAATTTTTAACCCTCAAGGTGGGTTAACCCACCAATCTCGGGGTTAATGGCAATCTTGCGACAATTCTCTGGGTTACCTTCGGCAGTGTGAATGCTTGCCAGGTTTTCTTCAACCTACACGTAGAATAGACAGGACAGTACAATTGCTGCCGTGTGCAGCCTTGAGTGGTCTGCCGTACCGGTAGCTGGTATATCATCGTAATGCCATTATTTTCACATGGACTTCATGTGGAGGATACCAGTCTATCTTGGCCAGTAACTTGTCTTTCTGAGTTAATTTTGTGTACACTATTTGCAAGGCGCCAGTCTTGACCTCATGGTGCATGTGTGAACATTCATTGTACGTGGCTCTATTGGCATAAGTTTTTTGTTTACATGTACACAATGGGACAAGTGGACACTTCTTTTTCATTATCTGTGATGAAACAGGCACCATGTTGCTGCGATGCTAAAGATCATATTTTCCTTCAACATGTGTAGAATTTATAAATTGGTAGCCTCGGGTAACCCAAGCTCACACCTGGCAATGTTTCCAAAGTAAAATCTTACTTACTGCAACTCGCTAAGGGTTGGACCAACAGAATTGTCTTCCACTTTATCCAGATTTGGCATGTGTACCATCTTGGTGAAATGGTTCATGGTTGAGTATATGATTGAGGGAAGAAGAACTTAGGCACCATTACTTCACATGGTGCTTGATGGTTCTCAGTGTTGAATATGCACAGAATATGGTATTGGTTTCCTGCACAGTGGAGGATCAGGGGAGAATCCAGGAAGTTTCCCAGTGGGAATGCCTAGGAAGTTAGGGTTACATGTAAACTGTGCAACTTATCAAAATAGCAAAAAGAATTACTTTATTCTGTTAACCCCTTTAGTCATGACTTTATTTTGGGATTATAAATACTTCATTTGCACTTGACGAGTTCAGGACTGATTTTTACTGATGATAGGGATGGCCACTGCAGTCAGTGTATAAGATTCCTGTCGTTAATTAGGTAATGTTAACATTTCACTGATCAAACCCAAATCCTGATTCGTCATGATCAATATTCAAATGACCTGGTGACAGATGGGGTGCTACAGCTTCAAAATCCCCCATTCAGTGCTTTGGACGTTGCACAAATGTTAACTGGTGTGAAAATAATTCTTTGACAATACACAGTGCATTGGTCGTGCCAGGTGAACCAGTGATGAATGCAGTGTCTGTTAACAATTGATGTCTATTGATAACTACAAATGTATTGGGAATTTGACCTTGGAGTAAAAAAAAAATCACTCCCGTCAAAGAAGAAATTGTTCTTCACTGAAAGTTTACATAAATGGAGATTTACGGGTACATGGACATATTTTTGGCAACTAACATTAAAATAACACTTTAATTTGGAAGAGGAAACACATGTTGTAGATCACACTTTATTTCATGATATTAGAGTATTGAGATGTACAGCTCAAGTACACTCCACATGAAAATGGGAAAATATAACAAACGTTTCTGCATGGCACCTGAGGTTTTCCTTGAGAACGAGGAGCGTCTAGGTTAACCCTGTTGCTGTGCACCAGTCCCCATTTTCAAATGTCCCCGCAGAATGTGTTAGGTTCATTTTTCATTTTGTTTTCATTAATAGTCTTTTCCTATTTATCTCAAACTATTATCAGATAGATATGTTTAGATAATTGACTTCTGCCCATATTTTGTCCTCCATTCTGCCATCACTTTGACAGTCCTCGTACATGTACAGTACTGGTAAAATGTAACTTGACAACCAGAATTTGAAGCCATTACTGCGATGGCACAGCACTCGTGGACAGGTGGTACACGTATGTGCGTGTTACATTCCTCTTTGACCAATAGGGTGTTGTGATTTGCCAACTGCACGCACACGTCAAGCTGAAGAACGTGCATGTGGGTTCGGTGCCACTGCGGTTATGACATCTAATCGTATTAGTCCCCATGTATAATGCTGCAGAATGCTCCCACATGTCCCATGCATTGTTTGTGCCAATTGGGAGTACATTTTATCATGTTCTGAGTAGCGTATCCCCGAGGTTACATGCATGTGATTTCAGGGATGCACATGCAACCCTGTGATTTCACATGCAGGGATTTCTGGAGAAGTTAACATGTACATAAAAATTGGCTCTCACGTAACAGTGCAAGTCACCGCTCAGATTAGTCAACACTTTGGCTTAGTTTTGTGTCATGATTTAATAACACAAAATTTATTCTGTACACTGTTTAGGAATTGCAATGCGTGCCTCATGAAATTTGGCATGTTGCACCTAATATTCCCAACTTTTGCTTTTATTTACTGCAGTACCGAGTTTGATGCATCCAAAATTCGTCCTCAGAGCAGTCATCTTGGCTGTCTTGGTTGCCTTGGCAACTTGTCAAGAATGTAGCCATGAAGACAAAGAAGGTTACATCATCGATGTCCACACCTCAGAGAAGAACGGTGCTGTTTTTATGTCTGATGCCAAAACGTTGACTAAAGAAAGCTGCCAAAATGCTTGCTGCAACTTAGAAGAAGGTATTATTGGCAGAGTGTCTCTGTCTCTCATGGGAATTACTTGGGTTCATTCAAAGATGACAAACACCTTGTTTTGCTCGGCATTGACAAAATCAGTTCATACTTTATCTGCTCCAAGTTTTCAGAGGTATAGGTTACTTGAAAAAACTTGGGTAAGCAACTTAACCCTAACCCCCTAGGCCCTTTTACTAGGAACTGTCCAAAATCCTCCGAAACCCTCCAATTTTCAACATCAAAAAATTGCATTCACCCCAAATCCTCCAAAATCCTCCAAAATTTCTTGGAAATGTCATTTAGAGGTGTGCCTAACTGCCCAAATCCTTCGAAATCCGCCGGCAATTCCTGTCATTAAGTTGAGGCAGTGCAAATGGCACTCTGGAGCTGTGCAGTTGATGCAAAAGAAATATCGGGCTGAATTTGTGCTTGACTAAGCACAAACAGCATAAAGTCTAATTCACGACCTTCACATTTGGCATCCTTCGAAATCAGGTCTCCTGAAAAACTCAGGTAAACAACTTGAAGCAAAAGAGGATACTTTTTACGAGCACCATCTGTATCAAAGGCATTGTTCTTTGCAGACACACTAGATGACGGAAGCCTAGCCAGATGCAATTTAGCAGTCTTCCACAGCAGCAATGAGATACAGAGTAAATCCAAAAACTGTTTCCTGGTCTTCTGTCCGTCCAAAAACTCCTGCCATCTGACCAGGGTGAAAGGTTTCACTTCCAGCTATGTGACACACAGTAAGTCTGTCTTTGGTGCACATGTACATGTAGGGTAGATTTTCACTTATGGAATTGGAAAGTGATTCTCCCAACCCCATGCAGACAGCCACATTTTGCCCTTTTTCGTGGGAGACCTTGGAGACGCAAAATGAGTAATTGTCACCATTGTTATTAAGGTCTAGCTCAGGTCATGACAGTATCACAAGGCTACGGCTAGACATGACGTGTGAACCTATGGAAGTTGCAAACAAGCGGCTACAGCCAATTCCCTTAGACTTATATGTTATTACGAGCCGTAGCCAAGTAATTAAGACACAGCTGTATTTTAATGCACTAAAAATCCAATCTAGAAAAGAACATCTCGTCTGATTTGAACTTTAACTTACTGCACTCAACAAGGCTTAATACACTAACCAGTTAGTGTGGTGATTTGCTTTAACAGCACTGGTCCCAGAGACAACTGACCCAGAAGGTGAGCAGTTATTAACAAGCCCAGGATTCATATTACTTTCATGTCTCAGATACGCGATGCCAATTCATGTTGCACTTTCACATTGAGCTACCTGTATATAAGCACCAACACAAACTCATTTATTTGGGCTGTTTAGGGTGCAAAATGCTCAAAGCAAAATTTGAGGCCAGTGGTGAAATACTGATAATGCGTAACTTTCATTAAAACAAGAAAGATTGATTTTTGCACATGAAGTTCCTAAGTGCCATTCATCTGATCTGCCCATGTGATATACATTTACTGAAGAAAATGCTGAAGCTTTGTCTTTGAATTTTTGCGTTAGCTGATTGAAATAGCATACAATTGAATTTTGCTTGCTTTTTTTGGTTTTGTTTTGGTTTGATTTTCTGTTTTTGTTCTTTCTTTTATGTAATTTTTTGAGGGGAGGGAAGTTGTGGGATAGCTTTTGATTCGCATTAATAGAAAACAAACAACTAGATAACCTTTAACCTCTTCAATGTCCAAAGGATGCATACGCTGTTCCACTGTTCGTCCAATTTGGTGCAGTTTTTCAGTAACTAGTAATTTTGCATTGATTTGCGGTAGATACAACACCAATGGCAGATTATGAAGGTGGGCCTTTCACTGCTCAGTAAACATAAAATGTGTGTTTGTTACCTGTGCCGCATCACAACATGTACTGTGGAAAGCAAACCTCTTCATCCATGAAATAGCAAAAGTGTGCATCATCCAGTATTTGAACTTTGACCTGAAATTTGTTAGAAGCTGATCTCTATTTGTGTTTCACTTGTTTTGGAAGCTCAGAAACACCAGTCCTCTTCTCACAGTCCAATATGTGTGATTCTTTGCCAGACTTTATGCCAGAGTATTAGGAGCAGTGCACACAAAGAAAAGGACTAGTGCGGCGGGAATTATTAACTTCCACATAGCAGCTTGGACATTTAGGTTACATTGCCAGTAGTCATTGAGCTATTGTCTTGAGTGACATTCAAGACCTCCTCTCTTAGAGTTGTGCAAAAATAACAAGATACTCTTTTTCACTACTTCATGTAGGTGTTGCTTCTTACAAGTTGTATCCATTTCATTAGAATCAACCAAACATTTCATCCTAAAACGAGAAACCCTTGAATTAAACAGCAGCATACATAAACATCATTATTCAGGTTTTCTGGAAGTGGACTTCTAACATGTTATCATTTTAACACAATCTGTCATATGAACAAATTATGTCTAAACACCAACAGCTCAATTAATCACACTGATTCAAACCCACCCTCAACCCCATCTAAACCCTAACACATTCCCAGTCTTGTCTAACCAGCCTCCCCGCCCCAAGTTCTACCGCCCCGATTCTCCACCCATCAACTTCCATAAGTTATTCAGGAGAAGTAATGCCGACGGGAAGCCTGGGTCTAGTATGGGCGGTGCCGCCAAACAGGCCGAGACACTCTTGGAAACTGCCAAGAAGCTTGTGGATGCAGGAGCTGGGTCCTCATCCAGCCAGGCTGACAAGCAGGTGGCTTTGCAGGAGGGGAACCTCCTGAGCGCACTGGCTCAGGATGCTCTTGGCACCATGCAGAAAAGGGCAAAGGCCGCAAAGAAGAAACCCAAGCTCATCACCACACCGAAAATTTCCGTAAAAACGACAGGCAAGAAACCTCAGCAAACCACATCTTCATCTGCCACAGCTCCCCTCGTCAAAGTCACCACTCACGGTCCGCTGTTAAACAGACTACTACACAAAGCTCTCAAACGGAATCTCCCAAACTGAAGATGACCTCTCCTAGTCCAAAAGAAGGAACTCCAACCAGTGCGCGATTAGCCGGGATGCAAGGGTCTACCAGGCCACTGTCTACTCCTCAGATGCCTGTCTTGACTCCAGCTTCCACCAACCCAGCTATCTCTCCCCTGCTTGCCAAATCCACTTCCTCGGGTAATACAACCCCTCATCTTGTTCTTGGCAACAGCCCCTCTGGAAACCCTCAATCCACCACACTTGCCCATCTCCAGGGTACCACTCAGCACCAAGTAACCTCCCCTCCAAGTACCGAGGTTCCCCCATCTGGGTCTTCTGACCCCACGGCTTCTGAAGCATCCCGCACAGAGCCTGTGACTTCTTCATCCACTGAGCCACTCAGTGATGACACAGCTTTGCACTCTAGCAGCAGCGTTAACAAAGCCTATGCGACTTCCCCTCCATCATCGCCGAGCAATTACAGTGTAACCACTGAGCCATCAGTGGAAAATAACCAACAAACAAAACCTCAGGTGGCCGTACAGTCCCTTTTACAGTCCAAAGCTGTGAACAATTCGCCGCCTCAAAACACGTCACCACAACCACCTCCACCCACACCACCATCCATCACCACCTCCAACTCCCCTGCACAGTTTGTCTCAGTCCCTCCTTCACCTTCCCCTGCTGTCACTGACCAATCACATCCTGCATCACCCACAGCCCCCAAACTCCCTATTACCAACCAATCTCACACTGTAATGGATGTTGGCCTGCCCACTGGTCAGGGCGCCGGTGAGTTTATTGAATTGTGAAGTCTTTGGTTGCGGTTTTTGTCTTGCTTGAGGTTTTCATCACTGCATGCTATCTGTTGATTTTCAATGCATCAGTGGTTTTTCTCTTTGACCTGAACTACACTAAATCCAATGAAATCTGAGTATAGGCCTTTTTAATATTTTGATAAATTTGGGAATGCCGCCACTCAGATTGCTTTCTCCATTAAATCATTCACTAGTGATGTTGTCTTAAAATTCATTTGCCCTCTGAAAATGTATGTTTTTTTTGGTGTAAAAAACACAATGATGCCACTCATTTCAAATTGCCATGTAAAGAAAAATTGATCTTCTCACGTCCTATCTGCCGTCTCTCATCGTGAATGATCATCTACTTGTAATAACTTCTAAGTGGCTAGTCTCAGTCTTATGGTTAACCCTTAGTACTCGGGCACTTCAAACTGTAACATGAGCTGCTTCAAATCTGTGTGCATCATATCCTAAGCAAATCACAAAGTCTAGTTCGCAGAGCTGTTAAGCACAGAATCCTGCTAACAAAGAAAATTCTACTTGACAAAAACAGGTTACCAACCCAAATCTGCATTCTACATATCTTTTGACTGGTTCCCAGAGATTTGTGTTCAGAACTTCAATTTACTAAGCAGTATATTCTGCTTGGCAGCTCTATGAAATTGAGGCCAGTTCCAGGCATGTTACTTGCATGTGTTTCTCCTTGCTAGCTTTGTGTTTATTTGTCATTAGAGTAGACAGTATCAAGATTTCATTGTCAAAATACGAATTGTCTTTAAAACAATATTTGTATTATCTGCTTTGGGAAAAATATCAGGATATCAACGATAACATTTCTACATCAACAATTTTTTTTGTCAACGCACGTTTTCTGAAAAACAAAAAGATGTTTGTTTTGTTTCCCCCAAAACTTCCATTAACTAAGCAAAACTAAGCTTGTTTTGCTGCATTTTGTTCCTAAGGTGTCAAAACCCGAATCTCACAAGGATTCCAAAGAAAACATCAAATACCGAACATTTTAACAAGCCTGAAATGGACCATATTTCCCTCATGCTCTATCCACTCCAAGCAGAACAAAAGAGGACATGTTTTTTATTAGTACTCACCGCATAGGCACGCGTCTGTTATGGGATCAATGGCGCGTTTGACATAGAGCACGCTGAATTTGCGCAACGAATGTGTTCCGTAATGTATGGTCTTTGCATACACGCAGAACGCGTGCAAGAACCCGCATGGAAAATTTACAACCATCTATCTGTCTTTTGGCGTATGGAGGTGCACTTCCACTCGGGGTGGATATTGCTTGGAACAAGTAGTTTACCAGAACATTACACACATGCCTAGATTTCAGCACTGCCTTGTACATGGACATGGCAACGTGTTTCAATCATGCCTACAGTACCTAGAGTGTGTCCCTGTGACATACCAAAAGAATGGATCTTTATTTTTGCCATTGCACTAATACATCTTAAATTGGAAATCCAAACTTTGTTCATGCACCAGAGGGAAAGCCACTTTGGATGATGATCATACTTTTTTTTATATCTGCCCAAGTTTGATAGTTAAAACTCCCAACCTCCGTTTTTGCAGTCTGTCATGTTAACGGACAGTTTCCATGTGGTTTGCAGCGCCAATGCCGCAGATGTTAAATGGTGACTGATTTTTGAGGAAATCAGAAATATTTTTTTATCGGGTAACACAAGAAATGCAGCAATCTGGTCCAGGTAGTAGTTGGTAAAAGCTGCTTTTCCAAGCTGTATTGTTTATGCATTTACTTTTTACTGTATTAAGGAGTTTCAACCATACACAATATTGAGGACAATTTTGAAACTATCAGCAATATCGCTATGAAATATCAACTATAATAAACGTCGTTATCACCAGCACTAATTGTCATTCCAAGTATAATTCTGTTCTTTGTGACAAACACAGAAACCACAGAGGCATCCACGCTTCTTCCCGAGATCAATTCAACCCTGCCTTTGAGTACAAGAGAGCCAACTCCAAGTCCCGATGAAGCGTCTTCCGAGTCAACTTCATCCATTTCAACCAACAGCTCTAAAGATCTGGTTCCATCATCCCCCATGGATTTCCTTGGGGAAAATTCTGCACTCAACCAGACCAATGTAAGCTCTCTCTTCGTCAGTTTGGTCGGGCACGTAGTGAACTAGACTGGAGAATAACCAACTGCATGAAATAAACAGGCCATAATCCCAAAGCCTTTGAGACATTATTGGTTGCCATGCATCGTGGCCACTCTCCTTCAGGTGTTGCCAAATTGTGCAGAAACAGAAAGAGTGTTTTTAAGTCCATCACAAGTCCCCTGCAAAACCACAGGTCATCCAGTTACTGCGACTGGACTCGTGAAAGGACTTGTGACTGGACTTGTGATGGACTCAACTATACCACAACTCAGAAGTGGGCCCTAGGCATGGCACTGACAGCCTGTGCTGTATGTGCAGCTTGACTCTGAAAATGAGCTTATCAAGGCCAGAAAGTTCGTTACCTTGGCACCTGTGTAAATCTCTGACTCAGTAAATGGAGAAATAGTATTTTGGCTAGGCTCACACAAACATTCTCCTTTGGGGACGACAGCCAACGAGTAATGCATTGTGTATACTGTCATGCAAATAAGAAGTGTACAGAATACAGGCTCCTTGTTCTCGTTCAAGGATTCCTGGCGGGAAGAGGAAATGGTACTCATTTGGTAGACCCACAAGGAATAGTCTTCTACCACACTGGGAAATGACTTTGGAGTTTGGGATTTGAACAGAAGAAGAACCCATTTGTACATGGATATACGTAGGACCACCCAGCCAAGAGATGGAACCTTTGCCAAGAGACATTTTTAGGGGCCGAGACATTACATGCACATGCTTATCGGCGTATTTGGTGTGAAGTACGCGCTTGTCATCTTTGAATGTGTGTTGGGTCCTTGTGTGGTTCTACATGCATGATGTATACAGGTGTTTAAGGCAAAGAATGTCCCTGCACTCATTATCAAGCAGTGATAACGTAGCCTGGCATATTCCTCAAGAGAAGAAAGTGTATATGTCACCCGCTCCAGGAAAAGGTGATATAAGTTACACTATGCATTTACGACCAATGACCCGCTTAACGTTGGATTCAAAAATTCCTTTTTTCCGACAAAATCATTGAAAATACTAATTCCTTAGTCCTTTTGCGAATTCTGAAGGTGGTTGTAACGTAAGAACATGTTGGTTGCTAAGTAAGATTTAAATGCCTACAACCCACATCATATTTCAAAGCCTGTTTTCTCGGTTTTGCAATTTCAATTGCCTGGAACTACATGTAATCAATATGCAAATATGTCACAACTCCGGAACAGGAAAGGCTACGGAGCTCTATCATATACCAAATGAAAGCTTACAATGCGGGCTCTCCAGTCATGTACTGAACTTGATTTTTTTGGGGGGAGGGGTAATTTATATCACCTTTTCCTGGAGCGGGTCACATATGACTTAACTCATTTTAGTCAGGATCCATAGTATTGATGAGGCCATACTTAGTTTACCTGTGGTGATCGCTGGACTCTAGGCCCCCAATGGCTTTATAGACTGATTCAGAGACTTGAATCAGGAGTCATTACTGCGTCGTCCCCACGTGCTCGTACAGATGAGATGTGCATTGAAACACTTCCTTAGCCAATGGGAGCGCACTGCTAACCCAAATCATGCACGCTTCAAGCTTTGGAATGCGCACCGGAGTGATGGGGTCTCCGCACGTAATGGCGTCAGCGGATCGGTCCATAAGAAAGTGTGCTCGTGAACAAAGTGTGACATCATCAGTACATTGGCCCATTCTATGCATTGGCAAATTAATTGAACATTTTAGAAAAATTTGTGCGTTGTGGCATTAAACTCTTCGAATTGTTGGTATCATTTCTGTGTTTCAGCTTTCAGCTGCTGACCAGCAAGACTCCGAGGATGAAGACGATTCATCAACGAAAAGCATCATTGCCTCAAATGGTAACATTCCCACATTTTTTCCTATTCTGACGGGAGCTTTCCCACTGTGCATGTGTTATTAACATGCAGAACATTTTCAACAAGTAATTCTTTTCTGGTCCAACTCATTATATTTGTAGTTACTCAGACTAGTGGCAATAAACAGCGACCTTCACTTGAACCCCTTAGATTGTTGATGCGCACCATAGAATTTCTACGAGATGTTGGTAATTACGATGATGGGAAACTGGAGTGGTTCTTACAGGATTGTTGGAAAGGAATTGAAAACTGCCCATCTCACGAATGTGATGTTGAGAAAACTTGAGATATTTTGTCCTCTCTGGGGTTTGGGAGGACTTGCATCAAATAATGTTGAAGAGATCTGTACACAGTCTCTTAATAACAGAAGACTTATTACCCTGAGAAACGAAACTGAAATGATTGTGTCTTAGACTTGTGCTGGATATATGAACATTGGAACATCAACAGGAATGTTTTTTCAGAATACCTGTTTTACATTTTATGAATATTTGTTTTCATGAATATTTGAATATTTATCCTCGGATATGTTTTGAATATGTACATCAGAGGGTGCCCACTGCCTCAATCCTTCAAAATCCTGCGGCAATTCCTCTCATTACATTGAGGCAGTGTGAATGGCATCTTGGAGCAGTATGGAGGATTTCCAATATAATGTGGGCATGAATTTATGTACGGCCGAACATAAACAATACAAGGTCTAACCCACAACCTTGAGACAATGCTTCCTTTGCAATCAGCAATGCAATTTTGCCATGCAGCCTCAATCCTCCGCAATCCTCCAAAACCTCCTGGAGGATTTTGAGGGATTAAGGATGGTTAGGGTTAATGACTGTTTTCCAATCTGTAACAGGCACTTCCAGAAACTATTTTGCTATTTTCCCAGATGTTTTCAATGAGTCCCCTTCCAGATTCCACTTCAGTGGGAATCTGGTATCCTTGACTATTTGATTGAATGGAAAGTCAAATATGAATAAGCCAGCTCCGTATTTTGAAAAGGCAAGGTCATTGGAGAACAAAGCAAGTGAGCAAGTCCACGTATGGTCTCACTGATAGTGCAGCTTATTGTGCATGCCTACCGCTGTTCCAGAAGGACCTTGGACACACTTAATTTTGTGCTGTTTGAATACCAAACTGGGCCGTTGGAATGAATTATTGGAACTGACTCGGCCCTATTGTTTATGGCAGGAGCCTTAATAGCTGCGTTGTGCTTCGGAGTCATCTTTCTTCTTGCTGTCGTGGTCCTGCTCGGTAAGCACTGGTATGAGGCATACCAACGCAGGCACTACTCCAAGGTGGACTATCTCATTAATGGAATGTACAACTAGACTGGTTACCAGTTAACAGAAGAGTCAGAGGTGATCTTTCTAGGTTTGTGGCAGTTATCACAGGGCGTGAATATTTTTGTCCAGCAATTGAAAAGATTCATGGCCTTCCTTTTTGTCGAAATTCCAATGTCAAGACTGTGGCCTTCATGTCTGTTTTCCTCAAATTTTACAACCACAAAGTCAACACCTGCATTTATTCATGTTTAAAGCAGATAAACAGTTATCAGGTTTTTGACAGACACAGAATCAACTCAAACCTTAGTAATGTTGACAACTTACATGTGCACGTATACTGAGGCCATGGTTTCTTTCCACACATGCCCTCATAGTCATGTGAAGTATGCCGTGACTTTTTCTGAAATTCTGAAATGCGTTTCACAGTTGTCTATTCTTTAAAGGCATCTACAGTTGAGTTTCTTATCACTGTGTCCGTATTTCTTGATGGAGAATTCGGAACTTTAATGCGTATTTTAGTCGTCTGATGCAAAGCTTACTTGCCTTTTAGTGTATCAAGCAAGATTTACTTAACATTAAAAATGAAGGCGACTTAAGCTTGTGTATTAAGTTGTAGGCAAACCATTTGGTGGACATCCATTTGTATAGTGTATTCAATGCAAGGTTTAGTTGCATGTACATGTTGGCTCTTTATAGTCTGTACATTTTATAGAAGCGTGACCTACATGTACGGTGTTTGGTGTTTTGGTAGTTACTCGATTAGTTCTTCTTGAATTTTGTTTTGCTACTTATTTTTTCATTCCTTTTCAGTTTCATTATTTTCATATTACTTTCTATATTCAAGTAGTGATTATGGCAGGAAGATGATCTCAAGTTTTTAAAATCTATTTAATTTCAGCATCGTGCGATGCTAGTGTATGGTCACAAATTTATTTTGATCTATGTAAAAAATATTTATTGATTCCAACAAGTGCAATTCTGATATAAGGAATGAACTCTCAGCAATCTGAATGTATTCTTATCACAGAGATTGGTAGCATTAATGACAGTTATAAGCTGGCTGTTAGTTCGGTTTCACCTTGCTTTGTGCTAGTGTTTTTACTGTGGTGTGTGTAGGGTACTTCAAGTATGAATTTCCTCTCGTTAGATACTGTCAAATTTGCAGGTGAATAACATTTCAATGATCAGATTCAAGGGAAGTGGTGGTTTCAACTCTCAAGTAAACTAACCTCATTAGCCTCATTAACATGTGTACTGGATTTGTATACATTGGCAGTAAAAAACAAGTTCCAAGTACTTTTTCCGTAATTTTAATTTGATGGTGTGATTAGGAAGTATCCTATTTGATTCGGTTTTTTGCAAGCGCTAGAGAGGCATGTGAGTGAGATATATAAATTATTAAGTTTTATGAATCAGTTCTTCTCTGTTGAAACTTAAGTAAAGCAAAACTCAGAAAAATTCAGAGAAAGGCGATCCCGTCTTTAACTGTTTGCCTAAAAATACATTTTTGCAATGCATGCATCCTAACAACCCCTTCAATTTCAGCTGTGCCTGACTTTATGGCAGTGGCTTGTCATGATCCTAGCCATAGCCATGTAATTCAGGCATAGCTTTAGTCTTGGGCCCAAGGGCACTGTGTGCAGTGTGTGGTGTTTCATGCCATTCCACTGTGACAGCGCCCTCTTTTGACGCGTACCAGCCGCTAGTGCCAATCATTCATTGTTGAGAATGCTTTCTATTGTCAGTAATTATGCAGCATGCACACAGCATGCCCGATATAGTTACGGTTACACTAGGAATGACTGCAAAGAACGTCTTGGAACCAAGCCTAGTGCAGCTTCAGCCTGTGTATGAATCACATGGCTAGGGCTGGCCACAACAGTTGTGCCTGTGGAAAGTGGCTGAATGCACACTGCCCACGGGCATGTGTGTAGACCTTTATCATGATGCTGTCATGTTTGTCTTGTTCCTTGTAGACCCTTTGGCAATAGTAATACAACCACACATACTGATAAAAGGGAGCAGACTGTTTTTCCATCCAGCCTAAGGCCGTGTCTGAAACGGGCTTCCAGAGCTACGGCTAGGTCTATTGTCTGTGCGTTTCCACGCATTTCTAATGGAGCTAAGACCTAGACCTAGCTCTAGACAACAGATTCGGATGCAGCCTTAGTTTGGTTTACATTACTTTGAATGGTAGAAAAGCAAGATGGCTGCCCCATGATAGACGTCTACAGTGCTAGATATGGCCAAGCAAATCATTGAATCAAGAAGCTGTCACCAAAATAGGCAGCATGGAATACGTTACTGTGAAAGTGACGTAGTCTTGTGTAATCCAGTACAGTTCACTGGACATTATTTCCTGATGAGCCAGCTCGGTATTCTAACAGTGCATGCCCAGAATGAAGTGTGTCCCAGATCATTCTGTGTAACAGCAATACATATGCACAAAGTCTGCCTAATCAACCGCAGCCACAGGCGGACTGGTACACATTCTTTGGTCTTGAATGACCTTGCCTTTGTGAAATACTGAACTGGCTCATTGCAGCAAGTTTCTCACATCAAGGTGTATAAGATTTTGAATATTCCATGAGTCGATCTGCTGCACATTTGTGCTGGAAGCAGCGTCTTGCATGTCACAACTGTTACCAAGAATTTGGCATAATGTATTCATTGCTGTATCCCACAGGGAAGCAATGTACCTCCATTGATGTTTACGAAACAGTTCATGAGCTGCAAGGTCCACACATGGGTATTGAATAAAGGTCATGTATATACTTGACAAGAAAGCACAGGTCTCCTCAGGTTTGTGGCATTTATTTGTTCCGTATTTGTCATCATTAAAAACATTTTATTGTGAGCAAGTAAAATTCCAATGGTTACATGTCAGAAGCAGTTGAAGCATTAATACAGAATAGAAGTCAAAATAGGAAGATGTGTTGTCATTGAGCAAGTGTTACCTGCAGCCTGGTGCTGCAACATGTAAGCATATGCCACTGGAAGCCACCTCTGGTGTCTAGAAGCCAGGCTTTTGGAGGTCATGTCCAAATCACGATTCCAGAGCTTCGGGTTTTTGTCAGTTTTCAAATACATGTACACAGACCTACACTGACAAAAAGATGTTGCCCGAGCTCTGAAGCCCGTTTCACGCATAGCCTCGGAGTGCATATAAACATCTTGCCTAAGGTTGGTAGTTAAGTCTAGCCCGTGGCTGGAAGATGCAGTCATTAACTGGAGGCCAGTTAGTGACTACATCCACTTTCCACTGGCAAGGTTCTTTCCATTGCCAACCACAACAAGAGTTTGAATGCAGCCTCGACCGCCAAAGTCGGATGCCAACAGTCGGCGCCAGTCAAGTTTTGTATCCTCATTGCTCATTTGCAAACCTTGACCTCTTAAATGTTGAAAGTTTCTCCTGGAACTGAAGAGATTCTTTGCATGGCAGTAAATGTTGCAGCGGTGCACTTCTGTTCCATAGTAATCAGTGTTGGTGCATTTATCATGTGCTTAAGTAACATCTCCAAGATGGCAGCTGTTGTAGGTCCTCATTTTGTCGCATGTACACTAATTCAAGCAAGCAGCTATGCATTTCAGTTTAATCCACGTACGTGGGAGCCTCGGTATGCTCGGCAGCACCTTTGGTGCTGATGATCACTGAGCTCAGTTCAAAATTCCATTGAGTACTTTCATAATCCACTCATAATTCAACCCTGTCGCAAAACTCACTCGTTGAAAGTTTAAGGTCCCTGGGCCTGAATGGAGACCAGCTTGACAGCGTAAGAAACACATGAACTCATCAAGGCTTAGTTATGCCACTGCAGCCCAAGATGTCACCAAGAAGTAGGTAAGATATGATTTAAGTCAAGGTTACAGACTTTGCTAGTCTTCCAACAGGCCCAGTCAGCAGTAACTTACCCGTCTGTGGCTGAAAGATCACAGTTACTCGGGTATCTTCCTTGAGTTGTTTCCAATGCTGTACAAACTATGTCATCATTACAATTTACCCATACATTTGAATAGAATTACATGCTGTGCGGAACAGCTCAGTTCACTTTCTCCCAATTTAAGGTGGCTTTGTGTGGCTACAACCTCTAGTTTTAATCAGTATGAGATTGCCTACTGACTTACCCATTGACTTGTTCTAAACTTAGCCTTCGTTCAAGGCACTACTTTGAATTCAAATTTCAATTAGTCATTAGAGTACGTTAGTGATTGCACAAATTTCGTAAAAACCTCTTTATTATATAATTTCAAGGCTTCAATGGGAAATTATTAGAGAAAAACATTCAAGAATTGGACAAACTTTCTGCTGCTGGGAAATGAATCATTTGCTTCAAAGATCTTGGTGAACACGATTTTTGCAACTATTCAAGGAAGAGACACAGAGGACAGCAAAAAGATAAATGATTTGGAGTGAAAGCCAAGCTGAATTTTCACAATTCTGTCAATACTAAAGAGGAAATACTGAGGAAAGAACAGAAAATACCGGGAAAAAAATTACAAATTTACGACCGTTTCCTTTCATAATGAAACGAGATTTTTGCATAAACCAGAGTGATTCTTCATACTTGTAGCAAAATCTAAGATGTACAGAGGATACTGTATGACTGAAGCACTCATATGCAGATGGCAGATTATCCTTTCAAATTTAACCTGTCTAAATGCGGATTTCTCCAACCACAATAAGTGATGTTTTCAAAATAAGGCACATTACAAGAAACATTATTGTAGGTTACTGGCGCCATAATTGTTAAAACTAACATTTATTGAGACTAACACAATTCCAAAAAAGAACAAACAACACATAAATCAACAGCCAGTTGAACACATAAATATTTTTGAAATAAATATAAAATCACTCTATATAATGCCACAAGAGATAAAGAAGCCGGTTTCTTTAGTGACTTTTAAATTATATCATCAAACACCGCTAATATCTCCCTATCCCCCAAAAAACAAAAACAGCCCAACGTTAAAAAGACACTATATACAATTTTTATGATAAATACTGCTGGTAAATGCATATATAAATTCTAGGTTTAAAAAATCTCCGAGGAATTATGAACAATGGAAGGGGATAATTGTTGGTTGTCATGATTGTGTCTCTATCATCTTCATACAGCCTCGGTATGTACTGTCACATTGCAGGATGCAAGCTTGTCCAAGGAGTTACTTGAAGTTTCTTGTAGCTTGAGAAGAGACAACTTTCCCAAGGGACAGTGTAAGTCGCTTCTCCTGTTTGAGCCGAATCCAACGTTGGTATGTCAAAATACTGTCTTTGCATTGTGTCTATGACTCCCAAATCATTAGATGAATTACAAATGAACACACACTGTCTACGTCCAGTCCACTGATCCGTAAGTGGTCAGTTTACCACCTGCTAGTGGCCTTACTACCTGTGATCTAGTTCATCTTGTGAATGACCGAGGATGAACATGTGTGTCAATCACCTCTTAAAAGTGGGGGGGGGGTAACGTTGAACCAATGCAAGCATAAAGCTAAAAAGCCCAACCAGTGTGATGGGGTCCAGGGCCCACCGTGCTTAACCACTTGCTGCCGGGGGACCCGGTTTCGGGTTCGTTTTCTTTATACCTAATGCTGGGCTGCCGGAAACTGGACAGAAGAGCTGGGCCTTGTAACAAGACTGTACTCGGAACAAAAGACCGAGCTGCTGGGAATTTCCAACATTTTTTCAGTTGTCAATGGCAGACGAAATCCATGATTGTTTTGAAAGATGATACCACTTTCTGTGGAATTCAGCAAGAGTGGATTACCACTGGGGACAAAATGGCTCTAGTGATGAGTGATACAATACCGCTGCACGCTAATCTGGCCCGTATTGAACAGATGCCAGCAGCGCACTGTGACAGTGTCAGGAACAAAAGAAAATTAGGTAACACCCCACAATCTGGGCTCTTTTTACAAGGCAGGTCTGGCTGAAATACTCGGGCGTCAGTAGATAACTGTCAGATTAGAGTAGCCACCAGATAGTCATTTGTGTGGGTGTAAACGTCTAGTATTAAATGAAATTATGAATTTTTAAAGAATTTTGAAAAAATAAAAAAATAACAAATCACCCATCCCAGCCAAATCAACATGGATAAATGGGCCTGGCACAAAGCGGTTGAGGGTCCAAGGAAATTCTAGAATGCTCTGTGGCGCAATCTAAGACAATTTCAGACCACTTTAAACACTTGCAAACACTTTAAGCACATTCAGCACATGCTTTTGCATGTTTTACTTCATGCTAGAACAACCTTTCTTTTTCAAAACTGTATGGTTGGGAAAAAGCGGGCGGTACAATACATCTTGCCCCCACTTTTAAAAAGTGGAGGAGACATACCACCCCAGTACCAGTCCCCCCCCCCCACTGATTGACACCCATGAAGAAGACTTCTCATTTTTATCATGTCGGGTACCAATATATGTTTTCGTCATCAATCAGTCTATTAGAACATCAATCAATCAGTTGTCTGTCAGTTACTTGGTCTGTATAAGTCAGCTAGTCTGTCAATCAGTTAGTTATTCTGTGAGTCTATGTCTCATCTCCACATTCGCTGTCTGTTCTATTTTGATGAAGTCTCACACTTCAACTTCAGCTGTGTAACTCACTATAGGGAAAGTCAAAATAGACTGCTTTGATGACAACTGTGATGTCTACCTCATTGTCTAATTTGTCCCTTAACACTGCATCTTACCCCTTGACTGTCACCAAATGTAGTGTGTTTGTCTAACTGTCAAGTTACCAGTCTGTTAAAATTTGTACAGTTCTCTTTAGCAATGTTTTTTTTCTGTTTGTATGTCCAACAGTGGTAACATAACCTGAGGAGTGATATTTATATCAGAAGTTCTCGAATCGTTTCTCGTCCTTTGGAATACAAGTAATGATTTCAGCAAAAAGACTCTAGATGTGAGATTGCGCTGGCTCGAACGGTGAACTATCCTGTCCCTTGTTCTGTTCGTCGAGCCTTTTCGTGAGCGCACTGAGAAGTTTCAAGCAACCGTCGAGTTTGGAATCCATGACGTACATCTGCAAGTGCATAAAAGGAAGAAAATTCTGCCTGAGTTATGGATGGTGTAACAATTGAAACCGACCCCAATTTCTTTTAAAACTTCTATTGCAGAGACAAACAGTTTGAGTATGAGGCAGGTTTATGTTTGCGGTGATGAAGGGCGAAGTATTGTACCTGATTTTCCATTATGGACATCCGTGCTAAAATGGTCTGTTTCCGCTTGTCAACTGCAAAAAAAAGAACAAATGCTACATCATAATCACAGAGTAAAATGGATAAGAATAGGAGGGAGGGTATTAACAGAGGTTGGTTTTACACCCTTGCCTCCAACTCGTAACAACCTGAATCGAGCGGGTCTCAATCTCTTTGCCATTTCATTCTCACATCTGCTACATCCACAAGGTATTCTGATGCCACACGTGCAGTGTCCCAGGCAATAATGCGGAAAGTGGATGTGATCTGCAGATGGTCTGTGTGTAAATACGACGAAACCGAGAGGGCCAAGGACGGAAAGAAAATGTACCCTAGATTGAAAAAAAAAACCTCTGAACCTGAATGTCTGCAGATTCTGCAAGTTCCGTAGCCTGATGATTCATAGCTGGTGCTAAAAAAAAAAAAAACGAAAAAAAAAAAACCCACACAGTTGAGGCAGGCTCCTTTTGTTATCCCTATGGCCCCTTTCTTGATGAACTAAATGGCGTAGCATGACACTGAGGTAGTGCCACTTCATGCCATTTTCCCGCTTGCCCAGATTGACATGCTTTCTTCTCAAACAAGCCGTAAGTGTTTTTTAACAAGTTTTCTATCCCTTCCCCCGACTTAATTTTTTCACCTTCACTTCAAAATAAATAAAACAAAACAAAAGCCATAAGCCGTCACCCCAGTAAACACTTGGCCATTTTGTGCATTTGTTGGGTAACAGAACAATAGGAAGGAGCCCACGAGGAACATTCCTTGCCCTTGTGAGGGGTACTTAAATGGTACCCTATGAGCATTTCATTTTTGGAATTACTGAAAAAGGAGAAATTTCCAAGGTGTACTTAACTGAAACAAATTGAAGTATTTTACATAAGGAACACTTGGTCAAAATATCAACCAAGGAAAGACAGTCTGGTTAAAATGGGAGCAACTTGGAAACTGTGCTTCACACTAATATTTATAGTACATAAGAACAAAGGAAATACCCCACAAAAAGACAAATTTAAGGCTACGTGTCCCCTTCTGAAGTGTGTGAGGGCTTCACATGAGGATTTCATGCACCACTAAGTGCCAAGGAAGTGGTCTCCCTTGGTTCTCACTAGTTGCACAACATCCCCAAGATTCCAGCAAGGGGCCCACAAAGCTCAGTATAAAGCATAACGGTAGAAGATCCCATCATGCAGGGAACATGTTTCAAGACAATCCCTGGACCATCCCTGCTTTCTGCATGTTCTCCTTCCCTTTTGACATTCCTTCCCTCCAGGCACTGTCTTGTGAAATTGCCAGGATCTGCGTGGACGCGATGGCCACATGTCATACTTGTGAGGTATGCACCAGGTTTGCCGACAGTCTGGTCGAGTCGTCGCTGCAGTTCCTTGATGCGCACCATCATGTTCATGTGTCCCTGAGAATATTGCTCGATGACATCTCGGACATCGATCGGCTTTTTGGCTTGCTATTATTGCAAGGAGATGAGACCAGATAATTTATTTTTGATGACATATCAAGAAATCCTCCCAAAGATGATTTAATGCAAAGGAACGCATCAAGTTTTTCTTCCTCATTAAAGTTACAAAGACTGGCACCAGGAAACAAGGTTACGGTCGCTCGACAACCCTTTAAATTACTGATTATTTTCACTATTTTCCATTGGTAAATTTTCAAGCTCATTGTACTTTAATGTATTCTTGGAAACCTAGCAATTTCTAAAGATCATAAACAAATAAATAAGATTGGGACTAAACCTAAAGCCTTATATGTATTTAGAAATTTCTTATTCTAGAAAATTAAAAAGTACCAAAGTCTCCTTTCAGGAAAGTTCTTCCTTACACCAAAATTACACCCTTTCGGTCACGTCCCAGTCCCAAATTTTCTAAATTTACTTTTTTCTGGTTATTAAAGGGAACTGAAGTACCTGACAGTGAAATGGACATGCCCACCATATACCAGACAGGTCATTGATAAAAAAAGACAGCCCCTACCTCTCAACATTTGGCTATTATTTTGCCAGTTATTCACAACAGTGTAGCAGTGAATTTCAAAAGAAAAACTAAGAATGTCAAAAGGAAGTTTAAAATGCAAGTCACTGACCTGCCCAAAATTCCCTTGACTTAAATTGACCTGTCTTTAAAACTGTTTTTGTCACACCAAGTCTTCACCTACAGAGAAGACAACCTATTTGAAATATATATTTATTCATCTCAGCTCGTTGTTATCGCTGTTATTATGGGTTGCTATTTTTGTGATTCTTAGGACAATACGTTTGAGACAGATCTAACCCGCTCACCTGGAATTTTTTGCGGGCTACCAAGTACTGAATGCGCCGAATTGCTCGGATGGCAATTTTGTGAATCGGCGTCAGGCTGCATGTAAGGAGGAAAACCAACATGTTTGGGTCAATTACCACAGTACTTCAATAATTGAGACGCTGTGCAGTGATGCATGATGTAGGGTGCGTGCCAGAGCTCCGACCTCTAGAGTAATTTGTTTTAATTTTTAATCAGCGTCGGTAACTCTAAGTAAGGAGCTGTAATCCCTCTTAATGACACTTCTTTTAAATTCAGAAACTCAGACAACCATGGGGTAGCATAAGTTTGTGATGTCAACAACCAAAAGGTGATCAAATGTGGCTGGCAAGAAAAATGAGGTTCAAACTCAAATCAACCAAAAGTTCCAATATTAAATAGGCTATTAATACTTGATCAAGATAAAAAGAAACTGCCTCACACTGTTGGTTCTAACAAAATTACGAATTCCCAGAACTGAGCCGAAGTTCAGGGTAACGGTTTAAAGCACAGGATTTTTTCTAAAATTTCCTGACACAGTGAAGCGACAGCAGAAACCTCCATGGGCTGACTGTCACTAACCTCCGACAGGTTCGTGAAATTTTCTGGCAGAAGGCGTAATTCTTCTGCTATGGTTACCACAATGTTTCAGCTGAGTGCCAAGCAATATCGTATACTCCAAAATAGCATCTGGGGTGACCACGTGGGATTTCTCACCTAGTGACTGTTTCAGGAACATAGGCAAAGCTGAAAATGTCCCCCTCGGGATCAGGCAGGTCCATGGAGAACATCTCCGAGAGTCGCTGGAGCGGCCGGTACCTGTCGCTGGGCTCGCGGTCACCCTCCACACGCCTCTTGTTGAGCCTCTCAAATACACCTTACCAGAGGAAGGTTATTTTAAAAAAGCTATGGACAGGTTTAAGTTTTTTGAATATTTTATGTTTAATCCTTATTATGAAAACAGAATGTTGAAAGCCCAACTCTCTTGCCTAAGTGAGTCTTAATTAGTAGGAAAGCTGTAGTTTCAATTTAGTGTACCCATTTTTTTCTGTTCACCTTTCAATTGCTATTACTTCAGTATCTGCTTCAGGTAAAAAGCAGCTTGGGTTTGGAGAGGATTAAATATAGAATGCATCAGAAATTGGAAAAATCATCCATGGTAATGAACGTGAGCTTTGTTTTTTAGAAACAGAGAGTGAATGTATGAAAGTTATGCATGTTTCACTTATACAAAACTATAGAGAGAATTACCATCCGCTAATAATTAAAAGTAAACAATTAAAAGAAGTTGGTAAGCTTTCTTCTAAGGTTCCCAGACCCCGCACCATTAGGACTTAGTGCAAGCATTAGTTCTGATTTAGGTTATGTACCCCCAGACACTTCTGAGAAGCAGTTGATGCCCCTGCCTGGTATCACTTGAACTTTTCCCAACTTACATGAGGGATCATCGCTGAAGACTGTGTCGCTGACTCCTGCCGTCCTCTCGGGTGACGACTTGGTGGGGATGAACTCCAGCAGGGTGGACTGCACAAGGGCCTCCTTGAGCTTGGAGTTCTTCCGCTTCTTCAGCAGGTGTGTCTTGTTGGCAAAGGCTGGGGTGCTGGGAGCCGTGGAGTTGGCGGCGCTGCCTGCGCCCGTGGCGGCCGGGGATGGGGCAATGTGGATCTTCCAGGTGGCCTCCGACACGAAGCCTGTGGTGTTCTCAGCGGCGTGACACCTCCACGCACACTGGGCAAAAAGGAGAATCTCAAGGAGGTAATTCAGTTTGGATGTGACCTCCATGCATATGCCATACTTCTAATCTGCTTCGTGAAGTATCTGTGAGATTGAGTGCTGGGATGCATCGAGACAAATGATAACTTTGTGTTTAAAATGCAAATATTCATGTCCACAAGACTGAATCTAGCAGAAGCAGACTGCAATACACTCTGCATCCACGGGTGAAGAAGTGGCTATCCATCAACAGACACTTTGAGAGGCCAGCCACAAATGTCTTCCATCAGAAGAGGTCCTTTCCAGAAGTAACATTACACAACAATGTAAATCAAATTATTGCCCTTTTGGCACTCTATACATGTACATGTACCTTGACTCCAGAACCCCAGTTACCCTACACACTTTAGGTTTATCTTGAGTCAACATTCCTTTGTTTTCATGTGAAGAAAACCAGCCAAAAATACTCCCTTTATTCCTTAGGTGAGTCCTCTTCTAACCCAAATGTTTGACTGTGCATTTGTTAAATGTCCCTCTTCATTTTGCAACAGGTAATTTCAAACTAACAGTATGGTTAAAACTGCAGAAGAAGGAAACATTGTGTGGGCCAAGGCAAGTCCACAAATCTTCTCTTCCTACACTCAGTGGACTGCTTTTGTTCCCATGTCCACACAAGAAATAACGTATCTAACACCTCCTCTCAGAAATGTCTACAAACTTCTTAACTTCAACACCTCGGCCAACCACCTTAAAATTTCTGAAAATGTCAACAAACATAAACATACTCGTACGGTACACTGGACTTTCTATTTTGAAAAGGTCATAACCATGAAAAGACAATTAGCTTTAATAGCATTCAAGCCTTCACGCATCAATTACTCCAACCCTGTACCAACCCTGGACCAACCCCGTACCAAAACTGATTAACGATCAGAACTTGAACTGATGCAGAATCAGTTCTTATGTCAAGTGGATCTGTAATGATTCAGAAGTGCAACCAAACGTAACCGGCAATTTGCTTGATAACAGCACTTCCAGGATGTAACTGAAAAGTGAATCACAGGCAAAGGTAACTGCAGTCCTTCAGGCTCAGTCAATCATCAGGTTACACCACAATGACCAGTGGGCCTGTAATAGCTGCTTGGCACATGGGCAGAAAGCCCCTCCAATTCTCCCTAAAATGTTGTGGTCCGTACAAGTAAAGCCAAAAATAAAACTGGCAGCACACCTGTATTAATCTGGCAGCGGCGGGAATCTGACGGCTGAAATGCTTCTGCCGTTGCTTGTGTTGCACCTTTAAGGCAAATCCAGACCCTAGAATACCCTGCAAGAACAGAACAATCAATGAATGGTTACACCAGCACAAGCAGTATATCAGGAATTGATCACATGCATGGCTGGAGTTTTACCCCTGTCCCCTCCAAAAGAACAGCGCTTTAGCCAACAAAACTTCTCCATATTAGAGAAGCTTAAAACCTGTGCCACAAATGTGTCTATACCCTGCAATTACCTGTACAAAGATAGCTGAGCCTACCAGCTGTCCTCTTCTTAAAATTATTTTATAAACCTCTCCTTTCAAAGACCTTTAAATCATCCAAATCCAAGTACGTGATATATAAAGCGTTTCTCTTGATGGTGTGTTTTAAATTATTAGTGTTAAAAATATCTGAAATATCTAAAGGTGTAAAAAGAGGCTAAAACTGTGCAAAGTCAAGTAGTACAGATGATCACAAATAAACTTTGCTTGATTGGTTTTCAGCCAAACAAAACATTATGTCATAGTAACAAAAGAAACTCATCCAAAGTAGAACTTATAACCACACACAACGGGGACTGGCAATGTTAACGATAGAGAATCTTGGCAGCAAGTTACAAATGTATGTCGGCTAAACTTACTTGAATTTGACATGATCAAATTACAAACTTGGCTCAAAGAACAAAGTGAGTAAAGATTACGTTAACTTTATACTTACTGAGGGAAGCGCAAAGAAGGATATGGAAAATATTGAAAAACATGAGGCAATAATTTTCCCCAGCCATGTAATGGGCACTTTATCACCATAGCCAATTGTTGTTAACGTTACCTGCAGTGAAAAACAGAAAAACAGAAATAGGAGGAAAACAGATTCACTCTACTACTCTGATCCGACATGACCAATTTGTCTCTATTAAAAATGCGTAATTTAGTGAAAAGCGATTTTTAAAATGAAATACTTAAACTCCAACCCCTTCCCTTATTAGTATTCCACTGTATCCAGTAATAATGATGTGTGCAACCTTACTGACCACTGGATACGACAGAATCGAATGAGTAGATTCAACAAATGGCTTGTTCTATGCTCAGGTCATCTCAGCAAAAGGCTGTCTACAGGTGGGGCCTTCTTTAAGTCAGCACAGCAACAATGCTTAATCAACCAGGACAGCTTCCTGCAATGAGGCGGCCATGCAAGGATGACACTGACACACTGTGGCTTGCTCAGGTAGAAAACCGAGGAAGGTCACTCTGTACTGCGTAGCAGATGTGAAACCAACTGCTTTGTTGGCTGGGCTCCAATAATTGATGTAAGGGTCAAGTCTAGGTCTTTACCAGAAGCAAATACAGACAACTGCAGACAGCACAAATCAAGGAAGCTCTGGAATTCCATTTCAGATATTTAATCCAGCCTTAACAATATGGGTCAGAGGTCGCCAGAGCCGCTTTTGAGTCAGAGGCCTCAAAAAAGAGTCTTGCACAATGTAAATCATCAGGAACCCTCAGCAGTTTTCACCAACAAAATGCCCAGTTTCATCAGGATGCCAGACTGAGTGATTTATCAAAAGCAAGAGCTCAGTTTGCTCTTTCTGGTCCACAGACTCCACACTAAAACAAAATTACAGGGGGATAAATAGCTAGCTTAGGATCAATTTGTATCACCCTGTCACATAGAGCCTCTGTTTGAGTGGAATGCAAATGAATGTGGGTACAACGTGACGATGGCATCCTTGCTTACCTGCAATTAACGATTCACCTTTTTCCCACAGGAGACTAGGGATCACCACTTGCCATGGGTCTGCACATCTGAGCTTGTTAGTGGAGCACAGAGTTTGGTGAGATGAATTTGAGCTTGTTCTATAGCGGGAAGTGGGAAACAGGAGGGGGAGGGCACTACTACAATGACTTACCACACCCCACCAAAGGGCATCTGCATAGGTTTCAAATTGCTTTCGCCCTCTCTCGTCCTGGTTGTCGCGCTCCGCCAGATAGACAAAATACGACACGAAGATCAGCATCAGGAAGCCGATGTACAAGGTGGTTATTAGCTCCTGTCCGATTGGGAGAAAACCAAAAAGGTGCTTATTCATCAACAAATATTGTCTCGGCAGGCTCTGCATTATCTCATTAAGTCTACAGTATATTATTATTGGCTAGGCTTCAATACTGACACCTTGTGGCACGGTGGGGAAGCCACGCATCACCAGGGCTGGAAGACTGCAAGGCTTTGAGAGGATTACTATGATAATCATTGTTTGTACAGATTGCCAGAATACAAATGATGAAGGATTATGAGTGGATAGAACAATCAGCTGAGTGGGACAGAATGTTTGATCTTGTCCCCAAAATGAAATTAATTTTCTTCTTGTATAAAAGTGAAACATTCATCACTTGTTGTTACGCAATGCCTGAGTAAATCCTCTTCACGTAAAGGTCACAATTTGGCTTTTCAGCCTAGCGTGAAATTTTTCACCAATTAGATGAGCTTCACTAACGGCAAACATGCCTACCACTTGCACATGAAGTACAGTGTTCTTTGACTGTAAGGAGTTTCATCTGTGCCTACCATACACAAGTGTTGTACAATTTTCTCTTAAATGGTGATTGTCAAATTGTCATCCTTTAATAGAATGAATAATTCCATGACAATGACTAAAAAAACAAACACAAGCCTGCTTCTGACATCTATGGTACAACTTGTTTTGCTCCTCCACAAATCTTAGTCGAGTACCGGTACATGCAGTTTTGAGTTCAACATGTCTCAGGGTTGACATTTCCAGGGCCATTACCCCTCATAAAAGTGCACTACAATGAGTGTAATTTGTGCAGCCGCTCCGTGTGACTGCGCTGCATTCAAATGTCACGATCGACTCTCTCTGTATCCACACAGCGTGAATTTTTAATGGTAATGGCAAACAATTTTTCGTGAGTCTGTGGTCAAAGCCAAGCTCTTCTACCTGTCTGTGTATGAAGACCACCGAGCCAAGAAGCTTCCAAGTGCCTCCCTGCCGGTCCATGTGTAACATGCGCAGAATCTGCAGACAGCGAACACCTCTGGGAAAATGTGAACAAGGAAGATATTCAATTCAAATCTTCTTGGACAGCCATAATCTTGCTCAGAGGATGTACGCATATTTTGTACAATAGGTAGACAAAATATTAAAACTCCCGGCAATACATGTATATTAACAATGGCCCAAACCTGTTTGGGAATTCCTAACCCTATAACACAGAACATAACATCAGAAAATGAAGGTACCAAGAAAAGGTGAGACTTTGAGAAAAGTCGGTATTCGGGCCCAAAGAGATTGTGATGTACCAGGAACAAAAAATTCCAATTACCCACAAATTTGCAGATGTAAATGGGCAAACTGGAACATGGATCAATTACGATACATGGAATTGGTTCTGGGATACCAGAAGTAACAAAGGAGAAGAAGCGCAGTGACCCAGTTTGTGACAGTTACTGAAGAACAGAAACAGCAAGGCCGTTGTTAATGGATTAAATGCTACAGTCAAGGCCAATTCCAATGCAAGATGTGCCCTTTCAAGTGTAACTAATAACTTCAAAACACGGGGAATGTAGTTGTTGACCTATCCCTCCCCTCCTCCATCCCCCTCCCCCAAAAGGGCAAATTTGTATGCAGTAATAAATAAGTTTCCTAAGATTTATGCTGTAGATACAGGATGTTCAACATTACCAATTTTCATCTAAAATGTCTTTGGATTTTGAAACATTTCAAACTCCTCACTTGGAGATAACACATCAACCACCCCCCTTAATTTACGATGACCAGGTATTTACAAATTTATATGCATTCAGGGATAAAAGCAAAAGGCCTTAAATAAATGTCAACAATTTATGGCAGTGCTTTGGGTATGGTGTAGTCCATATGTTGGTGTTATAAACCATTCAAGGTTTTGTTAATTCAGTACTTTTAAATAATTTAATGTTTAGTTAATATTCCATGGACTGTTTTCAAAACCTCAACACTTTGCCAATCTGCCAAAAATGCTACACACTTACAACACTACCATTTACAAGCGTTGAACAAACCACATTTGCTTTTTGAAACTGGACCGCATGCACATTTTTAAAAAATTCATGTTTCATTGAAGAATGTAGCTCAACTATCTTTAAACTCTGGTCAACTATAAAAGCTGAAATAACTTGACATAAAGTTATACATCACAACTTCAATCTGCACTTTATAAATGTGTGAGGTTGACATGTGTAGGTATATGTATGACCACGAGTGTCTAATCATCTCTCCTAGATGCAAACTCAGCAACTGCCCAATCGTGTACCAGTAGGCAAATGCAGTCACCAAAACCATCCAATCACAATGCCCGGTAATCACCTCTCACCTTATAGCTGAGGCAGCAAAGACCTGGCCCTCAGAACCAAAACAAAGCACAGCGGCAGATGCAACAACCACTATTAAATCTGACAAGGGGAAAAAAAGAAACAAATGTTTGACAATTACCACTGACTTCTAAACAAATCATCCGAAATAGACACCACTGGGGGATACAGGGTAAAAAAATGCCACCGTTCTGTCATTCCCCCATCCCCCTTCGTTTGCAAGAAATGAATTCTTTGAATGCACAGAGATTCCACTTATATCTCATACATCATCAACCTGTTACTGTTTAGGTCACACTGCTTGCATAATGAGCTCTTATTCAACTGATCACGAACTATACACGTACCAATCAATTCAGCCACGAAAGCACTGTACGGAAATAGAACTACGCAGGCCCTCAGTTCAACAGAACGACCAAGGGCGAGGTATTTTCGTACAACAAATGGCAAAATGCATTATGGGCCCTCTTGACTTGCGATCGCAGTGACCTCTTGCTTGGGTCCAAACAAAAAGTGGACCCCAAAATTATTAACCAAGAGTAGCAAAGTTGTTACTGATACATGGTGCAGTTGGACAGCCCTGTCGTACATGTACTTTTCCCCAGTTCAAGACATCCACATTTGAAATTCGTTTTCTTTTCGTTGATTGATTTCAGTAACTGAAAAAAACATGAAAAGTGCTAATCTGCGTTTCAGACCACCTCAGGAGAATAGATGCAAGTAATGCCCAAGCCGCAAATGAAGGCATCATTCAGTCTCCTAAGCCAATCTTAAATACTACTTTAAGACCAGCTCAGCACATATTTATTTCCATTCATAAATACCTTTTCGGTTAGAGAGTCAAAAGAAGTCAATATATGGTGGATTTCCAATGATTTTGTTCTAGAATGTTACTTTCATTTTCCCAAACACCCCGTCCATTTCATGATATATTCCTTGAGCAAGTTGTCCAAAAGAATCTCCTTATATGGACTTGGTGCATGTGTGGCGAGCCACATGCACACAGACTCTTGACCAATCAGAATCGATTAAACTGTCTCATATCCAGGTGCCAGCACGTGTTTTACACAGCAGGCATTATCACTTCTCAGCAGGCATTATCAAATGTTAATACCCGGTCAAGTTGCAGGTTGTTGAATAGAGAGACTGTCTGAGATATTTATGAATGTCCATTAAGCTGCTTTGGGGTGACTCAAATGGCACTTTGTTCCCTCTTGCCTCAACAACTGGAATACTGCTAATGCACCTAAGATGCCCCCCCCCCTGGTGAAACGTTATCCACGATCTCATTAGGAAGTTGTCAAAATCATTTCAACTTCCCACTCAAAGCGTACCCAGTGCACTCTTTGAAGTGCGTTTCTAATGATCCGTATCCCAAAACACAAAGGCACAAAATAACCCAGCAACCAGAGAGATATATAGCTGAGCAGAGATGCGCTCCCTGGTCCTCCATGATACCATTCATCCTGTACCGGAAGACCCATATTTGCTCCATATCGCATTTCGAGGATTGTACCCCTTCCTGAGCAGTGTTGGATGTTCTAGAGTTGGGTTTCTAGTGTCAGGGGTTTCGCATTCCATCATTTATTTTGTGGCGCCTAGATGGGTTGCATTTCCCGAGAGATGCACTAAAATGTCACGTGCATCTTTAATGGAATGACTAGGATCAAATTCAATATGGATCCCCACAAACAGCAACGTGAGAGAAAGAGAACCTTTCAGTCAACTAATTTTAAGACAAAAGTGGCACCTGAAAAGGTCAGGGTTTAGACCACCAAGAATAGCTATTGACGTTATATTCTAAATCAGGGTGAGTATGTGGTTTAATGGCTCAGAAAGATTGTCTGCTACTGTACAACAAACGCTGAGTACCTCAGATACTGAGTTTAAAGCCAAAGGGAATTTACCAACCAGACCAATTTGGATGGGTGAAGGGGTGACCGCAACACTGAAAAATAGGAATACAAAAAATCGTGGGAAAATATCCTAAAATTTTGCTGACAACCGGGATTTGAAGAATGGGGGATATCATCTGTCACAAGAGGGCACTGTTCAAAGTGGACAGCACTGGACATTGTAATGTAACACAAGGTGGCACTGTTCACTTGTCCTCTTTTGTACCCCTCCCCCCATATCAGCAATGCCCATATGTCAGACAAGACACGCACAGCTAGCCATAATACATGCATATGTCTTCAGACGGGGAGGTTGACCAATTAAATTTTCACATGGCTCACATACATGTAAGATTTCCACAAGGCTGCAAGAAAGGTGAAATTGTTGGGACTCACAGCAACAAATTTAAACTCAAAAGCCAGGGTATGGCTTGCCTTCATCAATGAGGGCAGATCTCCATTGCGCATTATTTTTCCTACAAGAACAGTACAGGTGTGCACTATTAGCAAGAGTTTTTCAATACCAGCCAAAGCAGTCCTGACCCCTGACCAATTTTGTGAGACCCGCTTCTTCATTTCAGGTTTGTTTTGATGTCTTTGATTTTGCTAGTTAACGATTCTTCCTCGTTACTTTCCAGTGCAATCAGAATGAACCCATTTAGAGTTTAAAGGGGAGTCTTTCTCTGTGTTACTGGCAGACATACGCACAGATGGGGACTTGATCTGAGACCTTTTTACAGGTGCAAAATTGAGAAGTTCTTAGCCAATATACTGATCATGAAAAGAAAGGCCTTGCAAGTTTGGGGGATGCAGTGGGAGCTAGCTGGAACTGCATTGGGTTTAACTTCCTTATCTCACTATAAAACCGTGCCAAGTTATGAGACTTTCAACAGCCCCAAATAAAGATCGGCATACAAACCACCAAGTGCAGAAGTTTACCAGAGCTTCAGAGTTCAATCGGCATTCCTTGCTGTTTGATTGTAGAGGCTGGCACAATAAAGAATCAATGCAATGAATTTTTCTTAGAATCCCTTTTTGTTCATGTTGAAACTCTTCGTCAATGCATGAAATCTGTTTCAAGAAACGTAAACTATAAAGTGACCTTTCTAAACATGAAAAATTGAGCTTTGCCAGACAAGTGAGGGCACTGTTAGAGTGATGAAATCCAGGGGGACACTGTTAACTTTGCATGTTTTCACTGATGTTCAAATTTTTAACCCAAATTTGCTCTTTGAAAGCACTTCTGAGAAAGCCTTGCTCACTTGCTTGTTGCCATATACTAATACAACAGTAAAAAAAATCTGGCAATTTTCAGCATAAATCAATGCAACATTGAGGTTCAGTGCCTCTTATTACACCACACTTTGCTCATGAATAATGCAAATTCACATTAGAATAAACCCCCCAAAAAGGTCCCTAAAACAGATAAAAATAGCAAAACAAAAGCTGAACATACAGGCGTAATTTTGAGGATTTAGTAGAATATTTCATTACATGGCCCTTTAAGACCTGAATGTTTCCACTTGATGAGGTTCAAATGTCTGGCCAGTGGGCAATTACAGGCAGCATAAACTGTGAACAGCTTACAACAGTGACATGAACCAACAGAGAAATATGCGAACAGGGCAAACCAATTACTCTTGCCATTTGACAGAGGGCCACATGGACTGTCAACATCCACGTTTCAACCAAAGCTCTAAATGTACGCTGGTTAGTCAGCATTTAGAAAGGATGGCAGCAGCTAGAGATGGAGAGGGGCAGATCTTTAGTGAGCAAGAATCTGACCTGACAGCAAGGATTTGGCACTGCAATGAAACTCAACCATCCTTCCTGAATGTGGCTTCTAGCCACATGAGTTAATTCGCAGGACACATTTCAAAGTTGTGTTGTAACTTTTAAAAGTTCTCTTTGACTTCATTGAAAGATGGAAAAATCTTGCTCACTTTCAACACCAATTCAAGAGTATAAATTTCTCCCATAAAACCCCTACAGTGCTCAAAAAGACAATTATAGTCTTCCAGCCAGAATTAGCTTCTCTAAAGTACAATGGGCTAATACGCGGGCACAATTCAAAGTGGATTAAATTTGGAGCAAACCTAAGAGATTTTGCCCAAACTAAATAGGGCCTCCTATTGTGTCCGCCATACTTCAAGCAGGCTAACATATTTTTTTCCACAGAACTACATCATGACTGCCAGCCAAAAAATTCACTGCTTTCACAACTCCAAAAAAAACAAATTAATATAATTCTACTTCCACTCCTTAAACTTTGTCAAATTAACAACCCCCAAAACCAAAAGGAAGCAATAAAGCGAATGATATATGACTGAAATATCAGCACTGAATAGAAATTTAACAGTTCCACAATCTGATGGTATATTTTACTATATTCAATCCATATCCACTCTACTTGAGCAAGCAGGCAATAAATAAATAAATGTATGTACTTCCAGCTTTATCTGGGCACTTAAATAAGCCTGCCATATGATATAGTTATACTGTATGTCATCCCTGAGCAACGATAGCGGCAAACCATATAGACTCCACAAAGCCCCTTGGCTACCTACTACCAAAGGAACTGGATAGACGTCCAACCTACACAGAGAAATAACCGATCGGTTGTCATGAGTTCAAAGGCGGCATGCAAATGTCTGATATGGCCCTGAGCAATTCCAAAGAGTGTGATACACGACCTGACAAATGCTGCCGTGAGCCCTGACTGATGTTTAAGTGAATTAAAGGGCAAGACGCAGCTTGTCAGAGAAATTATCGTGATAGTGGTTGATACACTTTAGACCAAGGCTTAAAAAGTCCACTGTCTTCTGTGCCAACAGAGATGAATACATGAAACATACACACAGTGTGCCTGAACAATGACGGGAAATTTCCAAAGTGAAATTAGTAATCTAGAGAACCCTTACGAAAGGTTTTAGTGAGTTCATTAAAAGCTCTTTGCCAGCATTAGAACATTCCTCTTTAAGGGATTCTCTGCCATTGGTAACAATGACAGATACACCAATATATAGTCTTGCATGTTCAATGAGTGAAATTTGCCCATTGTTTGTGTTTGTCACGTTACTTGTGGTCTATTGGTATGGATTTATATACATGTTCTGTTATTCTTTCTAGCATATTCATTTGGTTATTCTGAATTTTCCATTAAATAAAAAAGAGCTCATTTTTTCA